ATGTCATCATATCCCAGTTGCGTTGTTCGATGCTCACGATGTCAATCACTGGCATGGATTGCCTGTCCAGGCTCGATTATTTACAGACCGCCGTCATATAGCAGGAATATTGCTGAGTGCGTTTAACAACAACGAATAAACAAGATGGGATTTCGATATTAATTTATGTACTTGTCTCACTCTTGTCCCTCAATGCTGAATGCAGGGTCTATTGTCGAATGGTTATTAATTTGCGAATTCTAAGGAAAGACAAATATATATTAATTGGATTGAAACATTTGTAAATAATTTCCACATAGTCTTAAATTAGTTTTGAAAATTAAATAAAATAAAACTTGTCATTGAAAGCAGTTTGATATTTTTCTTGGCCTACAACATACTATCCAGAAGTACCCTGCCAAGAGAGAATGGATCTCTTTGACCTGCTCTCGAGTTCAGTGAGTGAGTATGGTTTTACGCCGCTTTTAGCAATAATCCAGCAATATCATGTCGGGGGACACCAGAAATGGGCTTCACATATTGTGGCCATGTCGGGAATCGAACCCGGGACTTCAGCGTGACGAGCGAACGCTTTAAGTATTTAACCACTAGGCTACCCCATTGCCCTGTTTTTAAATGGAAATTAGCACGAGCATCATACATTTGTATGAATATCAGACCTGCCAAGAAGTGATGAGAATATATGACAGGTATGTCAACCATGGACAAAATGTGTATAATAATGCAATATTGCAGGAAAGTGTTTGTTGACGTTACACCATGACGTTGTAGCAACGTTAAAAATAGATACATTTTAAGAAACCTACAAAAAAGAAACGTATCAACGGGTTTGGTATATTTTGTTTGCTGGGCGGGAGGTCTTTATTTATACTAACGTTTTATGTGTCTTTGTTGTTGTTGTTGTTGTTGTTGTTGTTGTTGTTGTTGTTGTTAACGCAGCACTCAGCAATATTCCAACGAAATGGTGGCGGCCCGTATATGGTCGAATCTGGACCAGACAATCGAGTGAGTGATATTATGAGAAACGCCACCAACCACGTCACCAAGCCTGACCGAAGGATTTCGCTATCTTATACATGTAGATACGAGGGGCGTTCGATTAGTTTTGCAACTTGGGCATTTGTGTTTACACGAACAATGTCAACTTGTGGCAGGTGTGACACTAGTCATAACATCAGGTTGACACGTGTCATAACAAGTGCCAGACACAACAATAAGTTAGATGTGATGGCTTCATTCACCTAAGGGTGGTCACAATCATGGATTCTCTCAAAGCAAAAGAAGCTAGAAACCTCAGAGCTCTAGATCACCATCAGCGAACTGAATGTTGTCGAGACCTCCTGGATCTCTAAACTGCAGATGAAGCCGGATGTCTTTCTCGTCTAGTGACAGGTGATGAAACATGGATCCACATCTGGGGCCCAGATGCTAAATTGTAATCCATGCAATGGAAGCACCCAAATTCTCCGCCTCCGAAGAAGTTTCGCACTCAACCATCGACTGGCAAAGTAATGGCCACCATATTTTGGGATGCAAAGGCATATTACTGACTGATTACATGCCCTCAAAAACTACAATCAATGGACAGAATTATATTAATGTAATGAAAGAATTGAGAAAATCTATTCGCCAGAAACGCCGTAGGATGTTAACAGGTGGTATTCTACTTTTGCATGACAACGCTCCTGTTCACAAGGCGAGAATTGCACAGGCCGCCATTTATGAATTTGGACCCCAGTGACTATTTCCTGTTCCGGCAAATGAGATCTGCCCTACGTGGAAGACGCCTCCAGGATGACGAGGGCATGAAGGCTGTCACAGAGGCGTGGTTAGAGGGCCAATCTGCGGATTTCTATAACAGTCGTATTAAAGGCTTGAAGGACAAATGGAATAAGTGTATTGAGTTGAATGGAGATTATATTGAAAAATAAAAGTGCAAACTATATTCTGCAACTTGGTCTCATATTGAAGTTGCAAAACTTATTGAAAGCCCCTCGTAGCGTTGAATAATGGATTGCAGAATGATAAACATTGTCCATACGATGCCATCAGAACCCCTCAAGGATAACCAGACAGAGTTATCTCGCCGCTTCCGAGACGCACATAACATAGGGATGATGAAGACGTGACACTGTTTATGGATAGGGGGCACGGGTGGCCCAGTCGTCTAAGGCGCCGCGATTCGCTGTGCAGAGTTGCGTCCCTTGGGCACGCCAGAAACCTATGATTGTGGGTTCGAATCCCGGTTCGCCCCGATTATGTTTCTAGGTTTGTCAGCACCATACCCGTGCTCGTGGGTTTCACCGAAGTGGTAAACGTCTGAGACCTGCATCACTTCGGGCTTTCCTCCCACATTAAGCTGACACGCCGCGATATAACTGGAATATTGTTAAAAGCGGCGTTAAACCCATCTCACTCACTCACTCACTCACTGTTTATGGATAACAACCACTTTATTCTTTGTATCTATGTTTCAGTGTCCCTTCATCAGATAAACCCTTTTGAGTTAAGATATAAATATATCCTGAAACATGCTGATATGTTTACATAAGATAGCATTATTAGACAAAAATACCAATATGATAACCATTCTGACCACGAGATTTCCTGGAAACAAACCAAATTCTCCATACCAGTATCAATCATTGGAAAAAATGGAACTTCAAGAAACTTTTAAAACACAAAGAAAGAAGTCAGCCAATCACAGAGACCAAAGCATCAACCCACCGTACCATATACCTCTTACGGAATACCGCTTGAGTGAGTGAGTGAGAATTGTTCCTTCGCCGCTTTTAGCAACATTCCAGCAATAGCACGGCGGGGGATACCAGCACAATATGTATGTATGTATGTATGTATGTATGTATGTATGTATGTATGTATAGTGATTTCATCAGGTGTATAAGTATCCACAGTTTTGACAAGCGCGAATATCTGGACTCTGTTTTATATTATATATATATATATATATATATATATATATATATATATATATATATATATATATATATTTAGGTAAGGCTAACAAGGGTCAAGGTCGTAGGGGCAAATTTGAGATTTTTTTATTTTCTGTTCAAGATTGAACATGAACAGTCCTTGGTCCAAGCTGATATAACAGTTTCAACATACAAACATATGGTTACAAACCAATTTGGATCACGGACTTTATCGTTGTTGATTTCCTCTTAATGTTACTTTGACAGTCTTTTGTGTGTGTCAGAATCAAGAAAATTGCAAAGATAAGAGCGAGTGAGTGATTATGATTCTACGCTACTTTAAGCGATATTCCAGCAACATCACGGTAGGGGAATGGGCATCACACATTGGCTCCGGGCCTTCGGCGTGACGAGCGAACGCTTTAACCAATAGGCCACCGATAATTTAAGAACGTTGAACTTCTCAGACATTTGACATCAGCAATATTTCAGTACGATCGATTGCAATATGTGCACATCCATTGCATTAGTGTGTCCAACTATTGTTAACTATTGCCAATAATTTTTGTTGTTGTTGTTGTTGTTGTTGTTGTTGTTATTGTTATTTGGCTGTTTAACTTAATAATCGGATCTGGACGAGACAATCCAGTGTTTGACATCATGAGCATCGATCTACACGAATGGGATACAATAAAATTCATGAGCCAAGTCAGCGAGCCTGACCACCCGATCACGTTAGTCGCCTCTTACGACAAGCATAGTCGCCTCTTACGGCAAACATGGATTGCTGAAGACCTGTTCTACCCCGGATCCTAACGGGTCATTTTAATGACCACCCACGCTTTTGATGTCCACGTTCAGTTCTCCGCCAAAACAAATTTATGGAACAATAGTTGATTCATATTTCAAATTGTTGGTGTCAACTGAAATTGATAATCGCAATTGGTGCTTTATTTTGTTTCAGAATACAAAGAATGTATGTCAATATTCTTTTTAAAAAGGGATAGGTCTTTCTTTGTTTCAGTAATTAAAATGTACATGCATATCATTTACATGAAAATTCACTTTTTTTATCGTCGCACTCCACAATATTCCAACTGTATTCCAGTCTGTAAATAATCGTGCCTGACAATCCAGTACTAGCGATTGACGTCATTAACGTTGATCTACGAAATGGGATACGATGACAAGACTAATTCTAACCCAGATCTTCAGAGGGCTAGTCTGTAGTCGTGTCATACAATGAATATATATAGAATTAACGTATTAACCTGCTTCTGGCACATTCCCAAATCGATAAAATCGCCATAGCAACAGAATTTTAGCCCCAATCGCTTTCATTGAAATTGGTTGCTAATGTTTCATCTACGCACACAGGCAGACGGGAACCCGCGTATTCTTAACAGATACCACGGGGACAATGATAGTTAGAGTAATTACACTTTTTTGGTAACTAAACCTCTTCATTAATTTTGAAAATAATTCATAATATATTACTGTCGAACTGAGTTGTCTCTAAGTGATTGGGTGAGTGAGTTAAAAGCTGATGTGTTTATGAAGTACCAACACGGAATGGCGCTAACAAACCAACGATAATAATCGGGAAGATACGAAACCCCTTGTATGGGGGCATAAAGAGATCTAACAGATGCATATTGAGGTTAATTGCTTGCCAAATGTAATATTTACGTCAATGAGAGATTGAGAAAATGTTGCTAATGTCATGAGAGACGTAGCCATGTTGGACACTAACCTGTGCCAAATAACGAGTGCGATCTGAACTTGCCACTTCACTTCAGAAGGATTTAGTTTGAACTAACAGGAATTTTATCATTAATTTGCATAATCGTTGTTTGCGAATAATAAAATCGGCGACATGCATAATCTGATAAACACAACATCGGACAGTTAGTAATCTGATTTGACATCAGCTGAAATAAACAGGCATGTATATAACGCATCTTCAACATTTGTAACGTGAAATGCTGCTGGTAACTTGCTTAACCTGGCCATTCTCGTCTATTCATGGGAGAAGCTATGGAAATATGCACGGTAGCTTCTTACCTACAGAGGGCAGACAAGGCAGATGTTAAATCACCACGTGCGTCCCGGCGAGAATAATGGTGAAGTCATATGCATATTCGCGTGGAGCTGCAATCAATACTTCCTACACACACGGGGCCACATCTAGGTATCAGTTTTATCCGATCCGGCACAGTGCTCGGGCATCGCCGGCTATACGAGACGTAGGAATTCTGTAAAATAGGTCAGTTTATACCAGACTTTTTGGCAGCCGTTTTCCCAGAAGGAGATATCACTCGAGAGAGCGGATCGATAAACGTTGGTCAGCAAGACTTGGTAGTGTGCATCGCAGATTCACGTGTAACAAGCAAGCATATTCCCTGTAGTTCCTTCAAAGGCAACGCGGGTAGTTTATGAGTGCTGGGCAAATATAAAGTATTCCGGTTTTTCTGATGTATAATGAGAATGTGTCCACGTGGATGCAGGTCTTGTCAAGACGGAGCTGTTCGGATGATAGCTACAGTGCCAGTCCTTGGCTGTGTTTATTGATCGGGGCTATATTTGGGGATTTCATCAAGGACGCAGGGTCGTATTTATCAGTCCTCTTTTCCGGTCTGCTGGAGAATGACCTTGAATATTATCATTATGAGGGCAGTGTGATTTCCGAGCAACCAAACATTGTTTGTTGTTCGATGCAATCAGGAATATTCCACTTTATATTTGGGGTCTGGACTAAACAATGCAGTGAGTGATATCACAAGCAATGACCCAAGCAATCAACAGCCAGTGAATCAAGTCACCCAGTCATCAAGACTCCTTTTGTTGATTTGTTTGTTGTTTAACGCCACACTCAGCAATATTCCACCTATGTGACGGCGGTCTGTAAATAGTCGAGCCTGGAACAGACGATCCAGTGATTGACATCATGAGCATCGATCTACCCAACTGGGATACGATGACATGCATCAATCAAGTCAGAGAGCCTGACCACCCGATCCCGTTAGTCGCCTCTTACAACAAGCATAGCAGCCTTTTTACGGCAAGCATGGGTTGCTGAAAACCTATTCTGACCCGGGTCTTCACTGGTTAAGTCTCCTTTTACCAGTATAGTTTGATTGTGACCTTTTCTATAACCCGGAAATCCCAAGGAGTAATTTCCAAACAAATAAAAGCCACAAAACCATTTCCATATGATAAGAAATTTCCGTAAGAGTCCGTAGTACGAATCCGACTATTTTATAAGCATGTGTTTATGAATCACTATCAATTAGTAACAATACCAGATGTTCGGGAAAAGGTAAGCATATCCTGTAACACCGGTGGCACACTTCACAAACACATGTCACAAACAAGTCAAGTCAAGTGTTCACCTGAAAAAGAACACGGGAACAAATGACACAAGTCAAAATAGGGAATTGCACCGGACATCATTTTTGTCACTCATGCGTCAAATTTGGAGATGTCCTCACATCTGTAATAGAGAAGTTGCTCATCCATAACAATTTTGTCTTAATGTCCTCACATGTCTAACTTTCTGACTGTTGTAACCTTGATCAAACAACTTAATTCTGAGCAAGAGGCGCATGTCGCTCTTGGTAGAAAGAACATTCTCGATTGCATCTCAAAAGTTGTGAAATGTGAACACCAAAGGCTGGAGCAGCAGGAATATTGCTCGACATGAAGAGAAAGTTGACTATTGAAAAGTTGAAGTCATCCCTCTTGTCATACAGTCTTGTTGATAGTCTATTGTCAGTGTAAATCTTTATGCATAGGTCTAAATGTGAAACAGGTGAGACTGTCGCTTTCAATTGTTCATGTAGGTAAATCAGTGGAAGGGAGGCTACTAGTAGTTAACAATAGCGGAACGATTAGAGGTGAGGTGAAATTGGGTTTAACGTCGCGTCCAAGATTATTGCACTTATATAGCGACGTGCATGCATGTGTATGTGTGTGTGTGGCTGCTTGTACTAGTCCGGACTGATGCCGATTTAAAGTGCTAGCTGACTGAGATACCATGCCGCAGTTTTTAACATGAATACCCCACTCAGACACAGTATACTGACTCCGAGCCGACCAGTCCTTGTTTTAGCCCCTTAATGTCGAGCCCCAGACAGGGTTACAACAAGTACCCTCTTTTAACGTCTTTTGGTATGACGCGGCCGGGGATCGAACCCCGGACCTTCCGCTCTCCGGGCGGACGCTCTACCACAAGACCACGGAGGCGGCTGGAACGATTAGAGATATGGTCCAGACACATCACTATTGTCTAAGGGCGTAAGTTTCGGCCCTCGGATGGTAGCTCAGGGTGATGACGGAAGACAATATGGAGTACAAGTACAAGTACAGTGCAATGCAAGTGACATCGACAGGTTGACAAGTTGTTGCTTCGTGCACTGCACTTGACTGAGTTGAATGAAATGGCAATAGATAAGATGTACAGGCGTGTAAAAGTAAATAAGTGAATAACAGCATTGTCAATACCGATGGAACAACTACACATAACATTAACAAGTTGAGCGGAGATTCCGGCTCATACACAAAGAACACTGGACGAGTTTCCACCGAGCGGCACATTCTGCTCGCGGTTGCCCTTGCAGTCGGAATACCAGACTGCTAGATACATTTAGTATCACAGGTATCACATTGAAACAGACAATAAACATTGTTGAAGTAAGGTACACTGATGACGTAGGGACAAAAACATAAGCGTTGTCGTTAGCATAAGCGTTGTTGTTATGAAAGTAATATGTCCATGATAACAGTAAGATCTTTGAAATTGGGAGTCTTATATTGTGAGCCTAGACTCGACAAGGCTAGCAGATGTGGGATGTGATCTGCGCTAAAAAGGTGAATGTGTATCCAAAACCTAACCAACTTCAAAAGTCTAAACTGGAATGTAATGAAAAATTCAATCATGTGAAATTGTCTTAAAGATATTTGAACGAATCGTATTTTGTGCGCCAGAGACCATTAACGGTTGATCGCACGAATATACATAATTTTCGCCGGAATCATAATTAAGCACAAAATCACGTTGGCAAAACGAAGAAGTAGGATATAGACTGTATACACAGGGTCGTATTACAGAAGACCCGTGAAAATCCGGAGTACAATCGGTCTTCACGACCTATGCTTGCTCTAACAGGCGACTATGCTTGTCGTATGTTTTCCCACTTAAACGATATCCCTCTTTAAATGGCTGACTGACTGACTGACTGACTGACTGACTGACTGACTGAGTATGGTTTAGCAATATTCCAGCAATATCACGGCGGAGGACACCAGAAATTGGCTTCACACATTGTACCCATGTCGGGCATCGAACCCGGGTCTTCGGCGTGACGAGCGAACGCTTTAACCACTAGGCTACCCGACCGCCCCTCTTTAAATGATCGAATCCCATACCTTCCGCTCACCGGGTGGACACTCTACCACTAGACCACGGAGGCGGTAGGTTATCCCATATATGACAACAGTAGTCCACTTTTAAAAATTTAGCAGTATAAAAGACATAGTTTCTCGTGTTTTCCCACTTCAACAATATTAAAACTTCTGAGACATTTTATCACAAGACTTTTTTTAAAAACTAATTCCCTATGCTCCTTCCAACTACATTCGTGTAGGTGATGTTTTCAGGGGTTTGTAATGTTACAATTGAAACTTTGGCTTAATCTCTTAAAGCAACAGTGTACACCTTTATATTTGGGACAAGTGTTATTCTTTTTAAATTATTGTGTTGGGAAGATTTCCTTAGTAACTGTCATCCATTGTATTTGTTTGGGGTTTCCATGTAAGAACAGGGCACCATCAGCTTATGCTGGTAAGAGGCAACTTAGTGGATTGGGTGTTCAGGTGTGGAGACCAGCTATGAGAATCATTGCTCGTTAAATCACGAATCCTTGGTTTGCCTGGTCCAGACTCGATAATGTATAGGTTGTTACATAGATGGAATATTGTTGACTGAAATACAAAACATATCCATCCTCCGGGGCTTCACCAAACTAGTATACTGTCTCTAGGTCAAGCTCCAGTATTACAGAGTTGAGTCCCTTAGTAGCCAGGATCTGCTGATCTATTCTCATCGGTGATCGACCAGTACCATAAAGGTGTTCCTGGAAATCTCTTTGACTTTCCCTACAGTCCTGCACATGAAGCTCTCCTCCCTGATACCATAGTTACTGAGATACAGTATGTTTGCATCTTATATGGGAATAATGTGATGTGAAATTAAACACTCACTTTGGTGTATTTAGAATACTAAATTGGAACAAATTTAAAGCATGTGGCTTCTCAATGACTTCTTTGCAAATTCAGTTCAATACAGTCACAACGTGATTTAACCCGTGAAGATCCGGGGTAGAATAGTGCTTCAGCAACCCATGCTTGCTGTAAAGGCGACTATGCTTGTTGTAAGAGGCGACTAACGGGATCGAGTGGTCAGGCTCACTGACTTGGTTGATGCATATCATCGTATCCCAGTTGAGTAGACCGATGCTCATGATGTCATTCGCTGGATTGTCTGTTCCAGACTCGATTATTTACAAACTGCCGTCACATAGGTTGAATATTGCTGAGTGTGTCGTTAAACAACAAACAAACAAACAAACTGATTTTTCAACTATCCCACACCAGACATGAGAAAACACTTCTTTCCTTGGTCCACATGGATCTTGCCACTAGTGTGGTGATAGTGGATATAGTTCGGCCACACTTTTTCTAACTTGCTTTACGGAAAATACTTGATGGTCGGTGGCAAATCAATCAAATCCGGATTATCTCCCATCCCCACTTAACCATGGTGGATATGTAAAACAAGAACAAGTGTGACCTTTTGAGGGTTGCTTGATAAGCCAGGAGCTTCATTGACAGACACTGACACACTTTCGTCAACGACTTGGAAGGGATTGTATCCTATTTTCGTGTTGGTACGTCTAGAAATAATAAACACGATATTTCTGACAGAGATTATTGTTTTATTTCAATGTTTAGAACTTTACATCACACAATGTACGGTGATGACCTTAGTGCAGAAATGTGATACATTATGAACTAGAGGCCGATGCATGTACAATGTACTTACACAGACAGTAGCGGCCACATGGCCTCAATTTTACACAAAGTTTAAACTTTTATTGTATAACCAACAGAAACATTATTTTCAGACCTTGACCTGCATGAAGACAACTGTTCATGCTCCAAAGTCTCAGATTGTACAAGTAAACGCACAACAATAGAACTGGCAATAAATGATACAGCTATGTTTGACCTTGACCTTTGATCGATATAGGACCAACACTCATATGCGGTGGGATGTGCACAGCTAACCTTGACCTTTGACTAATCTTGACTTATCTTATACCTTCATAAGCTCATTGGGGGGAGCCTAGTTGTCTCAGGCGCCGCGGTTCGCTGTGCAGCGTTGCGTCCCTTGGGCATGCTAGAAACCTATGGTTGTGGGTTCGAATCCCGGTTCGCCCCGATATGTTTCTAGGTTTGTCAGCACCATACCCGTGCTCGTGGGTTTC